CTGTCTATTATCAATTTGTGTATTTTTAGTTTTTTTTTAAATCACCAATCCCCTATTCATTTAAGCATTCTCCCCTTTGTCCACAACTTACTAAGGGGGTCTTATACAATTTTCAATATACTTTACCGTACACATAAAACTGGATGGCATGACAAGCATCAGTACATGCGTAAATGGCTGAGGTTTAACGATAATGATGCGTCTGCTGCCCGGTAATCTTTAATACTACTAACTATTTTGGGCTCGAATTTCCTGCGGCCTAGTGTCGAATTATCACTCGTTCTAAATAGAATTTTGCACATTCTAACCCGTGTTAATTGCGGCCTATATATATGCACATATATATCATGTAACTATAGCTATCAATTTATCTATTTACATGTAAAATAAACTAATTAAAATGAGTAAATAGGTGCACAATTATCTATAGTTATACTAACTCGTGTAAAGTGCAACCTTCCTATATATATTGTGTAATTATAGATATGAACTTATCAATATATATATACATATATAATAAAGTGATAATAAAATAAATAAAAGATACATACTTGAAATATATATATATGTTGGTATTTATATATGCATATTACGCATATGTGAAAATAACAATTTTGGTCTCGTCTCTAGTTGGTGTGGCATAACCGGGAGAAGAAGTGCAAATGCCACGGAGTGAGTGGCGCCTGCTCGCTGCGAACTTGCTGGCAGAGGGTGAGCTCGTTTCGGCGCATCGGCAATCAGTTGAAGACATCATATCAGTCGGCAGTCCGAGTGCACTACGACGCTCTGTTGCAGGGTCTGGTGTTGCTGCCGACGCCCGGGTACCATGGCGTCAGCCTGAGGCCGGGACTCGAGCCCGGGCCTCGTCTGGTCTACAGGCCGGACACGGAGGCGGCTGACGGTGCGGGTGATAGAGGCCGGACGGCCTGGCGTCGTCTGCCGAGCAGAGCTTCGTCGGGCAGAAGCGTCTCGGCGGCCCGGTCGGACCGACAATTCGGCCCGACCGAGTCCGGCTACGGCCCGCTGCGCCTCGTGGCCCCACCGTCCGGCCTGCTCGGCGACACCGTCTACCCGCCCATCAATGGACTCGTCTCACCACGCAGACGAATACAGCCTCGTTCGCCGGCCAGGCTGGCCGGTCAGTCCGAAGCGTCTCGGCCGAGACCGGCCGACTTTGGTCTCGGCTCGAGTCCCGGCCTCGTACCGTCCGGCGCCAGTCGAGCCGAGCTGGCCAGCGCCCAGGGCGGCTGGTTCATCTCCGGCCCTTCGGTTCAGGCCAGACGACCGATGGTGCGTGCGGAAGGCAGCAGTGCCTGGCAGAGGTCGGGCGAGCTCGGCCGACCGAGTGAAACGGCAGAAGACCATTGGGGCAATAGGAGGAGTGAAGACGGACGCGGAGTCGCAGATGCGCCCGAGGCCGTGTCCGAAGCTGAAGTGGAAGCAGAGGAGACGGCTGGAGACGTCGGCGCAAGCCTGAGGAGACGACGTAGGAGACAGCCGGCCGGAGGCCCGGTGATACGGCCCTCGCAGGACAGCATTGTCTACATGGAAGAGTCACCGAATTATTGCAATTACGACCCGAGCATCGGTGAGTGGGGTTGGTCTGTCGAAATCGTCGTCTCAATGGCCTCGGCCGTGAGGCCATTTTTTTTGTGGATTGCAGGAATGGGCAATGAGGAAGGTCTGCTTTAATGCGAGTTGTAAAAGCCTAGATTTAGAAAATATTGCTTAATTTCAATATGAGTATTTTTCGCTTAAGATGATTTAAGGAATATTAATTAAGTTCTCCACAATTCAATAGGTATGCCTTATGATGTCACTTGTTTTCACTTAGCCTTGCCTCACAAAATGAAGTAATACAGAGTGGACTGCAGTTTCGACCTTGCCAAGGTCTCATCAGCAGCCCCAGCGGGGTTCGATCCCGGATAGTAAGTATCGAGATGTTACCATTTCCCTCCACTACACAGCCACGGGTGCCAGTGTCGTCATAGGGCAGTTGGGCCATTCAATGAACGTCAGGCTCCAATCAAAGTACGCTTATTGTGGGATTGCGAATAGAAAAATATGTGTTGCCACTACGATAAAAAATGTTACTTAATTTCGATATAAGTAGATTTCCAAATAATTACTGATACTTGAATAAGAATTTAGTCATTTAGTTCACTCAGCTCATAATATGAAAATTCAACTATCAGTCCTTAAATGAATTTAATTGGCCTAGATTTATTAAACTCTTATTTGCAAAAATTTTGCTTGTTAATATCGTGCAAAATAAGGGCGAAAAATCTTTTTTTTTCTAAATGAGGACTAATATATTTAGATTTTTGTTAAGCTACCGATGGATATTATTTTCCAAATTCTTCAGCGCATCTTGATTGACTAGTCTTCAAAGAGCTAAAAGTGACAGGGAAGCATGCTTCTTCACTAATAGCTTAGCCAACTTAAGTCACTTAAGATGATTTAAAGACAATGAAATGAATAGGCCGCTTGATTTTGTTCAATTTCACTTCGTCCTGCGTTCCGAAAGAAAACTTAAGCTGATAATCACAAGGCCTAATCTTATCGAACATAAACAACATCTAAGACTGCATTTACCAAAGCATATTTATGTGAAGAAAAGTTGGGTTTTAAGGAATCTCTTGTTACATAATTGATGAGC